TACGATATATCCAGCTTACAGAGATGAAGCTCAGCAGATGTTCCCAGAGAGAGAAAGAAGCCTTGTGAAAATGAAGCCGCTTCAGCTGAAGTGCCCAAGGGGGAACATTTCCTTCCTAGAAGCCCATTTGGTGGATTTTCCTGTTTGCTCTGCCTCATCCTCATCTCCTCATCCATCCACGCTCCCTTGCTCTTCATTGAATCCCAGTTTTGAAAAAAAGAGATTTAGACACTGGATATGGCTGCTTGCCAACCATGGTAATACCCCTTCCCCGTGGCAGGAGAGCACAATGGCTACAGCCAGCCTTGTTCCAAGACAGTGTCACACATCTGGAGTAGGCAATGCTGGGGGACCTTTCTGGTCCTGAGCTGACTGCCTATTACCCTTAGGGAAGCAACACCCAGAACAACCACTTCCTGACCAGGCAAGTTGGAGACAAACAGTTTCTGCTCTGAGTGATCACTGGAGCTTGGAAGAGCTAAGAAACCAAGAGAGCCGCTGGTCATTTCACAGGGGATAGCAAATGCCTTCGTACCATCAGTTCCCTCTGCCTGCTTCTCCAGTGTGTGTTATCAGTCTCCAGTGAGCGCTCACACGCTCCCAGTCCAATGCCAGTGAAAACTGTTTCTAAACATCCTCTTAATGAAAGCACAGAGCACCCTACGACCCCCCCCCGCAGAGCTGTCCCAGTGCTGGAGGAGAAGGCTGTGGACTACCACAGAATGCTGAACGGACTGTGAAAGCATGGTGTACAGTGTGAGGGAAAAACTGTGAAATAATTCATTAAAGGCAAATAAAAATTATTAATAGGCAACAAGTCCAGGCGTTGCTTTTCAAAGGGACCTCTTGGGTTCCCCGTGTCCAGACAGGCGACATTGTCTAGTGGGGGGCAGCAAGGGGTGGGGAACAAGGGATGTCTCCATTCTTATCTTGGCTCTGCCAATGTCTTGCTGTGTGATCTTGGGCAAGTCACTTAGCCTCTCTGTGCCTCGGTTTCCCCATCTGTACACTGGGGATAATAATACTTCCCTACCTCGCAGGGGTGTTGTGAGGATGTATTAGTTAATGTTTGTAAGTAACAGTACAGTGATGTACAGTGCTAAGTATTACTAGTACATTGGATTTAGGTCTTGATTCTCCCACCTTGTGTTGGTGCTTCCTGTGTCCTGGTTTTTCTTTTGTAGGAGAGAACATGGTGCTGACAAACAGGGCAGAACCAACAGCTTTGGAGCCTATTTCAGCAACCCATAGGGCCTCTTTAGACCTTCTCTGGCAGTCTGATCACTTCTAAGAGCTCAGGCTCCTTGGCTCAAGGGTCCTTTTCTGAAACTGCCAGTAATGGGATCAGTAAGTGCCATAAACACATTTCCAGTGTGACTGCCGCATCAGTGGCCCATGGGGACCTGCTCCCAGTTGCAGGATGTACAAGTGGTCTCATCCCATGGTGGTCAGTGTGAAGTGAGTGTACCCAGAGGTACTTCACTCGGCCCTCGGCTGAAACATGGAAACTGAAACACAGAGAGCTGAACAAAGTTCAGCCAAGTGCTGCGTGCTTTGGTCCCAGCAGACGTGGTGTCTGCAAACAGTTGACTATCGCATCCCATGTTCCAGCTGTGGTATCTTGCCACATTTTTCTCTAGCTGAAATTTGAAAGACTTGATAGAGAAACATCAAGAGAAAAGGCAAATCTCTTATCATTGTCTCTGAAAACACTGAAGTCGTATTCTAGAAACATCAAGAGAAAAGGCAAATCTCTTATCATTGTCTCTGAAAACACTGAAGTCGTATTCTTTAGTTCAGGGACACATCCAGCCCACATTGGGGGTGATGAAAAGACCATCTTAAAGTGGCATGTAAGGTGCCTATCTGAGATAAGGTGGTCCTACATCAGTTGTGTGAAACATATTATCTGTGACGGCACCAGAAGTTCATGTTCCTTGGGTGGGTGGTGGAAAGCAGCTGCTTCCCAAAATTGGGAACACTGTGTGCAGCTACTGTGAAGGAAAGAGCTGTGTCCTGGAGGCAGCACAGTCACCTTCCTCAGATGGCCCATGGTTCATACATCCGTGCCAGAAATAGCAAGCACCTCTGCCCACCACTACACATGTCTAAGCAATAAATGAAGCTACAGCTGCTGCCACGACAACAACTGAGTTAAAGACAACGAGGAAAAATGAGGGGAATTCTGTAGGTAATTGCTAACTAGACCAGAAAAAAAGGCTAGGCAGATGTGTGCTTGGATGCACGTAAGGTATACCTGGTACTGTATAAAACACAGAGCTAATAACATTCCGGTTCTCAGGTGCATGCAGTCCTCCGTATCCTTCCTAAATACATCACAGCACACAGCAAATTCAAATAGAGGTGACTCCCCCCTACTTCACATTGCTCATGCCAGTTCATCCCACAGCTGCGTGTGTCTCTTCACTAGGAGTGAAATGAGGATTCATCCTGCAGGCCGTGAAGAAGGAGAGGACACCACCTACACAAATAGTCTCTGCCCCAGGAAAGCTCAGGGAAGCAGAGGCAGGCTTGTTACTCGTGACCTTAATGTAAGAGAAAGGGCATTTTCCAGTCACTGGAGATGTAGGTCCATGGGCTGTCACTTTATCTGGAAACAATTTTAGCCCTCGCAATAGCTTCACTGGCATACTGTCACCGCATCAGTCCCATATATACATTAGTATAAAAAGGGCACAGCAGACTCCAAAACACAATCTCCTCAGTTCTCAGCCTCTTTCCCTCCAGGGGCACTGCAAAGTGTGGGGGAAAGTGGGAAGTTTGTGAATGTGCATATGAAAAAGATCTCAGAGAGACTCCAGGTGCTACACAACAACCTACTTTCTGCACAAAATGGTTGTCCTTACACAGCTTGACACTCAGGGTACCTGCAAGCAGTGCACACTTACACCAGGAGCTGGAAGAAAGAAGTCACCAAAGAGAAAACAGAGTCAGGGACTGCTTTGCCAGCTATGTAACATCTGTATGTTTCCACAGTGACACAGAGCTTGAGTGAAACATGGACAAAACTCTGGGTGGGGGCCCTCCACATGACGAGGAGAGAGACAGCAGCAATGCCACCAAAGCCAACAGCTCCTGTGGACTGCACTCTCCCCATAGTAGCCAGCTCTGCCTTGCAGTGTCAAACATCTCAGTAGAGTTTGCAGTCTAATGTGAAAGATGTACAGACCCATCTCCACTTCTACTGCATGTGTCAGGGGAGTAGGGAAGAGTCTTTGAAACTTCCTAAAAGGCTTTGTCTTCTACAGAAAGAAAGAAAAGGCATATTTGACTTCCAGCACATCAAAGGGTTCTTCAGCTCTAGAGGATCAAGGCCCTAAAGGACCATGGGCAAGTTTATCTCCTGGACACTGCTGAATTTAACAATACCCCAGGGAGAAACTTGTGGGTTTCCCGAGAACTGCCTTAACAGGAAACAGAACGAAATAAGGATTGTCCGTAAAGGGGAGAACCTATTATCAAGCCCCCAAGAAAGAGGTCTATGTATACAACAAGACCCTCCAGAGTCCATAGTTAAATAGTTACACACCTTTTCCAGTGAGTGGTCCTTAACAGCCAGATGTGGAGGTGTGGGCAGAGGCCACCCAATCCCACCCAAGTTACTGAGCCATTGCTGTAGGGAGTTAGAGAGACAGAGGAGGACACTGTTGGAGGTGGTCACATCCACTATAAGTTGATGGTATTTTTCTGTAGAGCAGTCAAACGGCAATGTGAAAATACACATCCTGGAAGTCAAACCAAGCAAACAAGGCTTTAGCTCAGCCAGGTGGTATATGCATATGTCCTCAACATGCAGCACACAGGGGAATGAACACAGGCCCCTCCAGCTACCCAGCAGTGCTAAAATGTCGCCAGTGCAATGCGAAGTGAGCCCATTTGCCCATCACACGTGGAAACAGCAGGAACAAAATGGCATGGCAGATGCCAGGCAGAGCAGCAGGAAACCTGACAGCAAGCAAGAACTGAGTTTGAAATGAGAGAGAGACATGAGCTGATCATGGGATACAGAATACAAGCCAAACCCACGTTCATGGGCAGAATGAGAATTGAACTAGAAAAACCCTGGCCAAAGGCTTAGCCACATTATTCGCCGTTGATAACAAGACCCAGTTTTAATTGGCAGGACACACAGCAGGAAAAAGGGCAGTAAGATTAGAGGTGATTTTCCAGCTGGAGGGGACAAAAGAGGGGGAGGCTTCCTTCCTCCAGCACAATCATTTTTGAAAGTGTGAGGAGAAGACAAACACATGCTGGCTGCATAATTTTTCCAAATGTGTGTTAACCGTTGCAGTTGGTAAAAGTGGCCTGGACAGGGTGGAGAACTCTTCATTTAAATTAAGAAGAGGGTATGACTGGTTTCCAGAATTGACAGGAAGGCAAAGGTCTGGCTATTCTTGCTTGCTGCTGAAATGAAGAGGAGGATCTTGAGTGCAGAGCAACTCCCTTAGCTGTGTATCTCCATTTTGCTTTCTCAGAATTTCTCTGCAAGTTCCATCTGTGTAAATGTTCTCCCCACACTACAGACCAGCAGGCCCAGGAGCGGCTGTGTTCTTGTGATGCTTTATGTGGGAGCTCCAGAGGCTTTGTCTGCATTGTTTTCTTTATGCTCCATCCCTTGATGATGCCCTTTTGCTTTTCTTTTTCCAAGGGGCAGGAGAAGGGAAGGGGGAGGGTATGCACTGGGCAAAGCGGCAATCAAACCAAATTCACACAGGACCTGCTGACTACCCGTCTTCTCTGCTCGTTTATTCACCTTTCCTTCTGCACCCTGAAGCACACTGATGTTCCTCCCAAGTTTCTACTGTGAAACTCTTTGCTCTGCACGGTAGTTTAGAGGCTTGGACAAGGATTACTTAAATAAGGAGGAACAGTGGTGGGCCAATGTGCCACCCAGATGGGATACTTGGGAGGGTGCAGTAAATTATCAGGTTCCTTAATACTATCCATGGGTTTGCATAACCAATTAGTAGGACTTTGTATCGCTGCAGCTGGTATGAGATGGTTTCCAGAGATTGTTCTGAGTTGATCTTAGGAGTTCCTCGGTTAC